GAGCCCGATACAGGGCTCGAACCCACGAACTGTGAGGTCATGACCTGAGCCAAAATCAAGAGTTGTCATTTAATTGACCGAGCCACCCAGGCGCCCCAGCACGATGACTCTAGTTAACAATAGAGTATTATATATTTGAAAGTTGTTAAGAGGGTAGATCTTAAAAGTTGTCAGCACTGGAACAAAAATTGTAAAGATGTAAGATGATGGATATTAATTAAACACTGTGGCGATCATTTTGCAATATATATACACGTGTGTCACATAATTGTGTTGAGTACCTGAAACTAGTACAATGTTATATGTCGATTATATCTCAGTAAAACCGGGGGCGGGGGGGGGGGGGGGGGGAGTAAATTACACAGAGAAAAATAGACCAGAAGGAGATACAGCAAAATATTGACTGTAACTAACTCTGGGCTTGGGAATAGAGGTCATTTTCTTTCCATCAACTTTCTTGTATTTTTCAAGCTTTTCATGCTGGGAATGTGCTATTACTAATTTATGATGGAAAACATGTTTACAAGAAATCTTATTTGGAAATTAAATGAGAAACATGAAGAAACTTCAGTAACGATACTTAGTGAGCATCGATTCTTTGATAGATACCTGATCTTAGTTGATCTAAGGAAAAACGGGCTTGCCCCCTGCAGTGCATGTCTCGGATGAGGGGATGAGGTGGTTGGAGAGGAGCCCGGTATTGCAGAGAGGCTGGGGTAGACGTTGCCCCTGGAGTTCAGAGAAGGAGGTGTAGGGAGTGAGCCCTGCAAGGGAGTAATTCCCAATCCACCATTAAACACGACGACGGATCCCTCGATTCAGAGGGTTTTTCCTTCCATGGATATTGACGGGACTGATGGGATGGGAGTCACTGTTGTAAAAGTGGAAAAAATAACGGAGCTTGCTAACGTAAAGTGCATGCCGTAGGTCGTGTCCCATCAGGAAGTGGCCTCTCCGCTGGGGGAGTTGCAAATGCCAAAAGTTACTCGAGTCTCTGTGCCCTGAGTTAGACAACTGTGTTCATCTTATCCCGTTAAAAGCAGGCAGCTTGTTGTACTCGGTTCTTTTAAATTGGCAGCAGAAGAATTTGAATGAGCACATCCGTTCTGTCCACACATTTAAATTTTCCAGGATGCTTTCCCAAACCACTAGGAACAGGGAAGCGTGCCCCGACTTGTTTGCCGTTGGGTCTGAGCACGACAAAGCAGAGAGCAGTTACCAGGGAACGGGCACCACGTGAGTTCTGTGATGGTGCTCAGGCCCGGAGTTCTTCAGCCAAGTAAAGGCTTGTCCCGTTCCCCAGACTCTTGGACAAGGAGCGCCACAGTCTCGGATTCCTACCCTCCCAGAAGACCTAATCCTCAGACCCCTGACAGGGCACTTACTTAATGCCACACCCAGCCCTAAGTTCTTTACATTGAAGGGTGGAGGAAGGCAATATTGTTTTTCCGATTTTAGAGCTGGGGACGTGAAGCACAGAGAGGTTAAATGATTTGTGCAAGGTCACACAGCAGGTGGCCGGAAGAGCTGGAATTTAAACCCAAGTAGTGTTCTGTGAAGTCTGTGATCTTCCGGAAGTGGCTGATGGTTTGCATTATGTCCCGGAGCCTGATCAGTGCCTCGCCATAAGCCAGGTTCACAGTTTTCCTATCGCTGTGATGAGGTATGTTTCTAAACACGTGCAGCCCAAGGAAGGTCCTAGGGTTTGCCTGCTGGCACCTTACGGAAACACTAATAAGAAGCTGCTTTAAAACGGGCCAATCTCAAAGACAACCAGTGCAGCCTGCTAATTAGGAAGGTCTCTCAGTGGGTGGCTTTTAGCTCAGGATTAGGAAAAAAGATACAGCATGAACTAAGAGGAGCGGAGATGGAAAAGCCAGAAATCCCACCCCGACGTGATTTTATTCCAATGATCGTCATGATCCCGTGAAATCCAAAAATGTTTCGTGTCTGATTGCTTTTCATTTGCACATTTTAAGGTAGTGTGAGTTGGTGCAATGACATTAAAGAGAAGAGGGTAGGGATGCCTGGGTGGCTCAGTCAGTTAAGCCTCTTGACTTCGTCTCAGGTCGTGATGTCACGGTTCCTGGGTTCGAGCCCCACGTTTCAGATTCTGTGTCTGGAGCCTGTTTCGGATTCTGTGTCTCCCTCTCTCTCTGCCCCTCCCCCGCTTTCTCTCTCCCTCTCTCTGTCTCTTTCTCAAAAATAAAATAAAAACATTAAAAAAATTACAACGAAACGTTAAATCAAATGTGTCTTAAAGAATTACAATGGGACCAAAAGTCAACAGAAGTGCTTTCTCTTAGTTGTAGGTAAAAACCATTTTCATGATTAAAATGCTTCTCCTCCCATTCGATGTAGCTTCGCTTTTAACATCTTTTGACTGATAAAAATCACAACTGACACAGAGACTATGCATTCAGTAGTGTTTTAAATAAATTTGTACTTCATTAATCGGTGGCTTCTTCATGCAGTGGAAAATTATGTGGCCGGCCCACCCAAAAGGAGTGTTTGGTGCATGTGTGGGTTTGGGGACTGAGTAAACCACACCAAGGGCCCCATCTCCCCTCTTGGGGTCAGTGGCTCACCAGATTGGGAACAAGTGGGTTCAGGGAACCAAGGAGAGGACAGGTCAAACCGTCAGTCTCCTCCTGCTACCCACGCACACAGGGCAGGAGACTGTGTGGAAAGCAAACCCATTGGGCTGCAGGTCTGGTGGTTTTCCTAAAACTGCGTGCATTTGGAATTCAGAGAAAGTCCCTCAACACCTTTTAAATCCAAGAGCCTTGCTGAGATAAAACCGTTTGTTCTTTGGGTGGCCAGGTGAGGCACAGTCATAAGTAGAAGCACCTCCTGGTGTCCTCGTGTCGTTTTCAACTTGCCACGTCTGGCTTTGTGGACTTTGGGAAAGAAGTTCTTGGCGAACGTTGCTTGCACGGGCTGCATGGTTTCGAAGAAATAGTTAAGACTTGCTTTGGTGGCAAGAAGACCTGGCCTTTTATTTTGCCAGGGACGGTGGGGGGTGGGGAGGGCTCTCTGTATACTGGAGCATCTTGTCAGTTTGCTGGTAATGATTGGGAAGGTTTTGTTTCACGTGCACACCTGTCTTCCCTGGTAATGAAGAGGGACCAGAGGGATAGTGCATAATAAGTGAGAAATGAGCCTCTCTCCTCCTCACCTTTCTACCGGGCAGATAGGGTGTGTGTTGGGGGGTGGGGTGGGGGGGGTAGGAGTGTTGGGTGAACCCTGGAGGGCAGAGTTGATCTCTGCCTCTGACCTCTGGAATGAAGAATGCTTCCCCAAACAGGCAGACATCAGCTGGCACAAAACCGTGAACTCAGTCTCGATGAGTGTTATTCTGTGGAGGCATCCTTGAAAAGAACAACATTTACTTGATTGGATTTATTTTCCAAAATTTTGATTGGGGCTTTTTTTTCCCCAAGAGAATAATTACAGGGTCTAAATGAACCGTTTGAACTCCAGCATTAAAAGAAAAGACAAATCATAATGTAGCTCATGACATTTGATGGGTGGGTAATGTGTCTTAGTTGGTCCTCATTAAACGGCCAATGGGCCCGAATCCAGAGGTCTTCCCCCTCCCCTTTTCAACTTCTTTACCTAAAATAGGGGTAGTTTGAATGACACTGCTGATCCCATAAGATGCTTTTGAGATGGAAATAGACCCCTCCCCAAGAGGAAAATCATGTAGTTTCTCAAACTCTGCCTTCATTTGCTTTAAATTAATTCCTATAGAATAGGACATTCTGGTACTGAAATGAAGTCTGCACAGGGCAGATCATCAGGCCACAAATCAGGGCCCAGCTTCCAGAGCAAAAATCAAAAGTGAAATAAACTGAATAGTAGAAAACAAATTCAGTTTAGGAAGCTGCATTTTTTTATGTTCAAGGACTTACCCCAGCCCTGTAATTCTGATCCTGCTATAAGCTATAACAAGGGTTCTTCACTTTAAGTAACTCACAGCATCCCTGAGAAGTTGCTCAATTTGCTGTCATTCAAAATTGCCATTTCCAAGTCATTGTATTGGCTTCACTCCTCATTATGTTTCATTTGGTTGTAGCTTGAGTTTGTCTACCTTCTTCTTCCACCTGCTCCTTAGTCTTGCTGTCCTATGTTTATTTTGGGGGCCATCCGTTCATCCATCCATCTATCCACTCACCCATCCACCCAGCCCCACACACACCTATCCGTCCATCCACCCACCCACCTGTCCATCCATCCATCCATCCATCCATTCATCTACCCATCCACCCACCCACCTACCCACTCACCTATTCATCCATTCATTCATCTATTAACTCATCCATCCATCCATCCATCCAAAAGACATTTCATTGCTGCCTATGCTCCAGGCCATACACCAACTCAGTGATTTTTTTTTAACGTTTATTTTTGAGACAGAGACAGACAGAGCATGAACGGGGGAGGGTCAGAGAGAGAGGGAGACACAGAATGGGAAGCAGGCTCCAGGCTCCAAGCCGTCAGCACAGAGCCCGACGCAGGGCTCGAACTCACGGACCGTGAGACCATAACCTGAGCTGAAGTCGGACGCTTAACTGACTGAGCCACCCACGTGCCCCTGAGCTTAGTGATTTTTTTTTTAATTTTTTTTTTTCAACGTTTATTTATTTTTGGGACAGAGAGAGACAGAGCATGAACGGGGGAGGGGCAGAGAGAGAGGGAGACACAGAATCGGAAACAGGCTCCAGGCTCCGAGCCATCAGCCCAGAGCCTGACGCGGGGCTCGAACTCACGGACCGCGAGATCGTGACCTGGCTGAAGTCGGACGCTTAACCTACTGTGCCACCCAGGCGCCCCGAGCTTAGTGATTTTTAAGTGGGGGCAATTTTGCCTTCCTGGGGCAATGTCTGGAGACATTTTTTAGTCGTCCATCACACCCTGGAGTGAGGAGGTGCCTCTGGCATCTAGTGAGTAGAAGTCAAGGGTGCTACTGAACATTCATGATGCGTAGGACAGCCCCCAACAACAGAGAATTATCTGATCCAAATATAATAATGCCGGGGTTGGGAAATTCTTCCAACTTAGAGATAGATAACGGGTGCCTGGCCACATGGAATTCACAGTTCTGTAGAGGAAATGGACAGATAAACAAGGGAGACTATGTTGATGCTCCTGATGAGGTTATAGGTGCTCCCATCATTTCTCCGTTGGAGGGCGGTTCAGCAACGAGCCCATTCACAGTTCTACAAGAGCATTCTTTTCTGGAGAGGTCCAGTAGTAACTGGAAATAGGGGAAGAGATGTTGAATAAACCAAAGGGTTACAGATACATGTTTGAGACATATCAGTGCAGGGGGGAAGTTGGAACCCTGAGTGTGGGTGAAGCTCTGATGTGGAGGTTACAAGTTCATACACCTGCAGGTGCCAGGTGAGGTGACAAGAGCAGTGATGACTGGCAGCTGATTACAGCTCCCTGGGGAGTGTTGGGGACCGTGGCGAGCATCAGAGCCGCTGAAATACGCAGCAGCTGCAGTCAGCTCTCTCTGTCTACGAATGCAGGCCCAGAATGGCCAGATCCTTGTGATTTTTCAAGAAAAGTTAGAAGCCCAGACTTTCTATGATGTTTCCTGAGTTTTAAATGTTAACAGCTAATTCGATATTGGTTTAAAAAAAAACCAAAAAGCACCACTCAGGTCAGACAACACATCTGTGGGCTGCATCCCGTGGAATGTTGACGTCTGTTCTAAGGATTAAATGAATGAAGGTGTGTGATAACCGATAGGGTACCTGGGAGACAGTACGTGTTCGCTAAACATTGGTCGAGCATGAATACTTCATCTAAATCCGCCTTTCTCAGCCTTGGTGTGATTGACATCTGGAGAGGAATCGTTCTTTGTTGTGAGGCTCTCCTGTGCCCCCGGGCCTCTTACCCACGGAAGCCAGTAACAGACCTCACCCCTAGATGTGCCAACTAAAATGCTTCTAGACATTTTGCCAACAGAGTATTTGCCTAGCAAGCTACAACTCAACTCAGCACCTTGAGTTCTTCGCTATGGCCTCTCAGTACAGCTGTCAGCCCCAGTAGAGAGCTCAGAAATTGCTGAGGAAAGGCCTCTCTCAGTCTTCCTGGCCTCCCCAGGACAGGCCCCCAGGCCCCCCTCCCCTGCACAGAGGTCATTTTGTGGCTCTCTGCTGCTTCCGGGGCCTGTGGCGTTTGCCCTTTCAAGGCCCAAGTCACCTCTTTAGTTAGTCTTTATGGAAATGCCTTCCGAGACGCAGCTCACAGGGACACGTGCCAACC